ACCCTACTTCATTTTTATCGTTCTCTTATCCGTTCTGAACTCGATTAAGGCTTCATCATTTATGGAGGGGCATGTAAAAGCATCTTAAAATTATTAGATCATCCAGGTCAGAAACTTTGTCTTGGAGCCTTTAGAAGATCACCAGTTGACCAGCTTATATGTAGAGGCTGATAGCCATCTCTCAAACGACGTCGAATTAAACTGTCATTGCAATATGTGAAAAACTTACACTCAAGTCCCTAGAATCCAGCATATGATTGTACATGTGTGTTTAATCCCATGTATAAACAATTATTTCAATCAAAACCAAAACTTAAAGACCTCTAGGGTTTAGAATTAAGCCACATATTATCGCAGCTAATATTGATCTTTCTGCCTTCTCACCTTCCCGGTTACTGTCTACACCGCCCTGGCAACTAGTCAAACCGGAGGTAGACATAACAGTAACTACCCTAAAAAAGCTAACACAAATCAATTGGTCTATCAACAAGAATATGCCCAATTAAGGTCAAAATATGGTTCTCATAACTCTATTTTTACCGATGGTTCCAAGGATGATGGCAAAGTTTCAAGTACCACTATCATTGGATCTGATATGGTGTCGTATTGGACATAGTTGCTACACCAATGAATATTTCTTGAAAGATGAGAATCCTCCGTTTTGTGTCCCTTGTGATGAGAGAATCACAGGCAACCATGTTTTGCTTATCTGTTGATTTTTCTCTCACAAGTGATAACTGTTATCATTCAACATCTTTAAAAGAACTGTTTTAAAATATCAGTGTTCATTTCAGTCTCACTTTTGTTTTTAAAGAAAACGAATTATTTGATTATTTTTTAATTGTTTTAGAATAATAGGATATTCTTGTTAACTGAGATTTATGAAGACGGTGGGGTTTAAAGTAGTGTAAAATCATTGTCCCCCTGACAGCGGCACGTGAGTCCATCTATATTGAAATATTAGATATCAACAAGTGTTTTAATTCCTTGATGGTGCTTTGGTTTTTGATTGATTGATAAACATTGCGTTTAAGCAGTCGCGACCAAAGCGATTGCATAGATCCTGCTGGGAATCATGCAGCAAGCAAAAGCACTGTAAGTCCCTACAATCCCCAGGTAGTTGGTCTAGCTGTAGTTGCCAGTGATCTATAACCTTATTTTACTTTCTATCGACTGAAAATTCTTTGTTTTATTATTGTTAAGGTTTGTTTTATTTCTTAACTATGATATTTACCTCATTGTTTGACTGTCCTTTGTAGACAGGAATTTTATCATCATAAACATGTTCTCATCGCGACATGGCTTCAATATTGCCGATGTAAAAGTATAACTCACTCACATGTACAAATCAAGCAAAACATGCAAGCCAATCCACTCACTTCAACCATCTTACATAACTCTACTCTCATAATCACTTACAATTCAACCACTCACTCACTCTCAGCACACAACCCATACATACAGTCAAACCACATTAAAATATCATTGTGATCTTAACAGATAAAACTGTACAACTTGTGAACCAACATGAAGCGAGAGAACTCTTCATTGTAGATTGAAATGGCACACAGACGCCGAACAAACCTAACCAAACACAACAGTAACTCGTTCTAAAAACATGCCAAGCAAACGTCTAATATATGTATTACTGCCTCCTTTCTTAAGCTGACAGACTATTTAAAATGTCGTTAAATGCACCTCACTCACTGACTCATCTCCCTACATTAAGTTTAAGTTTACACCATCGACTATGCATATGTAAGGTTCATAACAATGAGTGGAGCATATGATCATTAAGTCCCAAATACCACTGACACAACTACTGCAGCCATCATCTATCAAAACCATGTCGAATATCAGCGCCCGCAGTGTGTAACACTGGGGGACTATAGTCACGTGATTCGGCGTCAGTTAAACGTGCTTCCCATTCAGTTGACCAACAGGCTTCCGAGAGGTGAATACAAGGATTTTACTCTGTCAAGGTGAGACACCCGCATATCAAAGTTTATCTCAAGACGTAATACCTGTGTACATGGTTTGGTTAAACATTACACTGGAAGTGTACTAGTATTTGATTCTGAATGTGATGAAGTGAATCTCGCTTCTAAACTGTTCACTGATTGTCACTTTCAGCACGTGCTTACAATTATGTTTCTAAAGTACATTACTGATAACTCGGCCATTTTAGTTGGTAAATTCTGTATACATCCACATTACGGTCACATAAGGCGGTTTAGGGTAATAATATGTCAAAATGTCTGTTTAACTTGTATATCATCTTTGTCCTAGTTAAAATGTCTCGCATGTCCCACGGATATCACAGTCTAACGGATCAACAACATCACATTTGAAATTAAAACACATCCGTATTCTTCATATTTAGCTTAAAACATCGTGAGTTTAAGTGAACAATTGACTTGCCTTTGCATGAGTTTTGGACGGGTGCTACTGGTTGGGCAATTTCGGCTCCCCTGTTCGTGAATACCTGATTCACCACTATTTGTTTCATCAACACATGCTTACATGTATGATATACTGGAATCGTACACTGGACGGATTAGTGGGGATTTCTAATTAGTATGGGCATGGCGGTTGTTGCTTTTATTTATTGGCTGGACACATCAAAGTACTCACGGAAATGAAAAAAACCTGTTTTTTCGATTTCAGATTTTAAATAAATGCAGTTAATATACAAAATATATAAATATTCAAACAACATAATTAGTACTAATTGGGCCTTGGCACAAATACAGCGTATCCAAGGTTTTTATGTCTTTTTACACGTAAAAGTGTGTAAAAATGTGAATAAAACAGACAATTGTGAAACAGGGCATAACCAGGTGTAAGTAGATCAAGGTGAACGTCCATGACCTATGACACCTTGACGACAGGTGAGAACAGGTGCATAAAATAAAACACACGTGCCGACCGTTTACAGGGGTCGTCTCATTGTTCAGAAAAGCGAATATTGTGATGGAGTATCACAGACGTTATGGTCCCGATGTGATATACAACAGTTAATGTTGATGTTTAGGCTGATTTGTTGTTATTATTATAAATTAGGACATAGGCATGACACTAACAGATACGTGTTTACATGGGTGGAATTTTAATGTGACAAGTTTTTTTATGTATAGGAATGAGTAGTTTATTACAGTAAGAAAACCATGCTGCCTGTTGTTAGTAGTAAGAGTTTTTGTGATGGAATAAAATAATGGGAGTCGCATCAACACAACATCCACAGCATGAGATCACAGAACTCATGTGTCTGAGGCTGAAGAAGTATCTTCCGTGTCATCGAGAGGAATGACAACGGGTTGTATACGGCTCACGTCAACGCCGTCCCGCTGGCGGAATGCATTTTCAGTACCGATAACGTGTTCCTCAGCGGCCTGCCACACCGCTGGAGTGATTCGGGCAAAAGATGCATAGACGAGATCTTTCACATCTGACAACTTAAAGGTTGTGTTGTGTTTTGCAATGAGCTCTATAGGATTGAGCTCGCAGTGTCGCACTGGAGTGCGCAAAACGACGTGTCCATGTAGGACAGCAAGGGCATTAGTTTTGTACACAACAGGTTTCTTGTGCATTTTGATTTTTTCCATAAGCTGTTGCTTCGTTTCTTTTGGAATAAAAATGCACATTGCACGATGTAAGGTACGCTTGCATTTGTGCCTTCAGGCTGCTCATGGTGGGAGTGATGGATTCGGGCTCCCGCAAGTTATGATAACTTGCATTGTCCAAGACAATGAAACTGGGCTGTTCAAGGCGCGGTAACAGTTGGTGTTCCATCCATTCTAGGAACACCTCACCGTTCATCTCCTTATGATAGTCATCGGTGTTCGACTTGGCTTCAAATACAAGTTCACAGCCAGTGATTAAACCCTCGTTACGACTACCAGCACGCAAAACAATAAGCCGTTTGCCTTTACCAGACGGTACCGTTGGCGCCTTGCTTCCATCTGTTGGTAACAACATGTAGTCGGTCGAATGATTCTTATTGACCCACGTTTCATCGGTATATACTATTTGAAAGCCTAAAGAACGATAGGTTTCCAAATCTCTGAGATACTGGGATCTCATGCTAAGGATAGAGTACTTTTCACGAAATACGCCTCTATAACCACCGCGGGCTTTGTAGCGGAACCCCATTTCGTGAAGAGCAACTATCATTGTCGTATTGGACACATTGATGGTGTCCTGAATTTCCTCTCTAATGCGTTTGCATGTCGGCGGTATCTTCCGATCATACAGACCGTCTTATTACACCTTTATCAAAGCTGTCCAGTTAATGTTTACGACCACGTTTAGGTTTTGAGACGACCCCTTCCTGCTCTTTTTTATTGACAACTGAATATACCCTTCCGTATGACAATCCAAGGGCTACACTTGTGCGGTGTAATACCCTGTCGACTCTAATGTGAGGTTTACCCAAGTCTCTTTCTCTCGTAAAGTACTTATGAACATTCTTGATCAATTTCGCAATCTCATCAGGACAGTGTTCTCAGTTATGCATGTGCTTTGTCAGTGGTTAGTGATTTGTGAGTGGCATTGTGGGATAGTGACTCAAAGTCCAAAATATCAGACAGTCAAAATAACATATTCCCTGTCATTATTATCGTGTACATTTACATAACTGTTGTTTTTCATGTTGTTTTGGTGACCTTTTTTACAGGTTCATTTGCAAAATGCCTATAGTCTGTTTCTGCTATGTCAATTTGGACTTAGTTTTATTTTTGAATGTTGAAAGTGACGACAAATTACCTCCTGTAAAGTACATTTTGTATTGAGCACTGAGATAAAACTAGCAAATCCAGACTAGTACTTTTCGAGTTGTTTTGTTATTTCGTATTTACATCTACGTAATGCTTTGTGTCGATTATTAAATCCAGCAAAACATTTTTTTTTCATTTCCATGAGTACTTTAGTGGCGGTTTGTATGGCATAATGCTTGTATTGTTATCAGAAATCACGATGAAAATGTCATTTAAATTTCTTAGCAGGGACGGCAATGACGGAGCGCTACAGCTTCAACAGCGGAACAAAGAACACCCTCAAATGGGAGGACTACGTTGTGTTTGGAGGTACACTTCTCATCCCTGCCGGGATTGGCCTCTACCATGCGATCAAAGACAGGAAGAAAAACAGCCCGTCAGAGTTTCTGGTTGGAAACCGTCAGATGGGCACTATCCCTGTAGCTTTGTCGGTGACGGTGTCCTTTATGTCAGCGTTGACGTTGCTTGGGATGCCTGCCGAAGTCTACAACTACGACACGATGTTCTGGTGGCTTGCCCTCGGCATGGTAATGGCCGTGGCTGGAGCAGCGCATCTCTTTCTGCCCTTCCTGTACAGGCTTGGGGTAACCAGCGTCTATGAGGTAGGAAGCTACTGATATTAACTTTCACTGAATCCCACCCGCATCGATTACATTCTGTTGTTATTCAGGGTTTGCCAACGCAGAGCGGGACAAATTCGGAATGGCCATCGGTTCGAACTTTACAATATAATAGGATCGGGCAACATTCACATCATTGGAAGGCTATGGAAGAGATGAAATCTTGTAATGTGTATCACAATTTCTATAGCTCGTTTTGCACTGGGTCATGCAATGACGTATGATCAAACAAATATTGTCCTGTATATTGTACACATTACATAAAGTAAGGTAAAGCAACTTTGGTCGAGGATAGTAGGTGGCTGTGTTCGGCAAGCTTGAAGAATTTCTAGGGCTTCGGTCACTAAAAAACATTGGCAAGTGAACTTTGTTCGAAATAAGCCGCTGTGGACCCAACATTGAATGGGCCACCGATAAGGAAAAATGGTAATGTGACTGTTAACATTCTCGAGCCCCATAAAGCAGCTTGGGTTGTATCCAGGGAACTGATCATGAGAATAAAGTTTGAGTGCATGCTGATCCTTTGACTGGGGTAATAATGTTACGCTTGGAGCATGCTTCAAGGTGTGGATTTGGCGCAGTTCAAATATGCACGTTATCATACCTATACTTACTGATGTGTGACTGTATTGTTGAGGGCACGGGTGTCCCAGTCGTCACATTATTGACTTTTTGAGTACGAGAATAAAACTCAACCCGATTGGAGTTTGTCAACACCTTGTTTGATGTTTGATGGTTATGTGAGCCTCAGTCTGCAATATGCGAGCTACATGTATATCATAACAGTCGTGGGTTTTTAATTGTCAGCAACATCCTATGCTGTCGGGGTACAATGACCCAGAAGAACCAACCAAGTCACCATGCCTTTTCATCTGATTATATGTAGTTGTTTCCTGCTACAATTATGAATACAAGTTTTAAAACATGGAGATGGTAGTGGTGGATGGGTAGTTGTGTATAAGTAAAAATGTGTATATTGGTAAACTTTAATATAAATGGTCGCTGTATGGCTGCAATAATGCCGATGTGACGTTAAGTTTTAACTCACTTAAACAAACGTATACAACAATAAAAGTTATGTTTTTTTGTACATGTTCAAACAGTACTGTCTTTCGTAATGCTGTGTCTATTTTCAATTACAGTACCTCGAACTGAGATTTGGGAAGCGAGTTCGGATACTGGCATCTCTTAACTGGCTTATTCAAGTGGTAAAACATTTACTTGTATATGCACATGTATGAAGTAGCATTATGGTAGCTGAAATACGCCAAAGACAATTTGAGAACTGTTATGGGCTCTCGTCCGTGATTTTCGTCCGTCTCGGTTGTACTAAGACTAAGATTAAAATCAGATGTGTACAATCACAAAAATGCATAGTCCCTAATGGAAGTGAATAAACCTTTTCAATAATCGTAAGAAATACCTACAAATAGAAGCGTCAATAGTTTGACTATATTATAAGCATCTGTTTATGAATTACTATCAAATAGTGATGACGGCAGGTGTTCGTGAAAAAGTGAGCGCGTCCTGCCCCATCGATATCACCCGTTGACTATTGAAGTCATCACTCTTTTTAGGCAGTCTTGTGAATAGGTTTAATCATACTATCTTTGTTTGCTTATTGTTTATCGCTGCACCCAGCAATAATTCAGCTGTATGACGGTTGTCTGAAAATAATCGAGTTTGGTCCAGCAAGCCATGCCAGTGATTGACATCATGATAATTTATTTACGCATTTGGGATGCGACGAAATGCATCAACAACCAAGTCAGCGAGCCTGACCACCCGATCTGGTTAGTGGCCTCTTACACGCATAGGTTGCTGAAGAACAATTCTAACCCGGCTTTTCAATGATTGAGTTCGTGAGTTGGGTTTAACGCTGCTTTTAACAGTATTCCAGTTACGGCGTGACAGTTTACAGTGGTAGGAAAGCCCAAACCTAGAAACATAATCGGCGGTTTCAAGGGGGTTGTGTCTTGTATCATACATTTTGCCACCGTACAGATATCATACTCCGATGGAGAAAAAACCTTAAACATATATACCTGTTTAAAGAATATTTGGCTGATCGTTGAACAGCTTATCATTCAGTTAATGGGTTGCTATACACTGAAGTTGTTTTTTTCAGCTGATGTACATGGCCTTTGTACTTTTTGCCCCATCACTGGCGCTTTATTCAGGTAATATACTACTCATTATTCTAAACTGGCTTGGAGCTTGTGTAAGATCAAGCAACAAATCCTCGGAGATACTGATTTCCTTATCTACCCTTTTGTCGATTGGCATAAATTTAGCTTAAGGCTTAAGTGTAAAATGAATTGTCAATGCAAGAAAATTATATGAATAAATTTTCAGTTATTTTGCCCTTTAGGCCAATGGAAATCTGTTTCCACGGATAATTTAACTGATTATTCTCATGCATTGACACTTTTTGTTGTTAACTTGTAAAACATATTTTTATTCATGTCATTCCACCAGTGCCACGACATAATGTGATTGATGCAAGGCAGAAACGTTCCACTGTGGTGTCACAGCATAGTAACGTTTTACCGTTATGTGACGTTCAAATTGTGACGTCACAGGGGAAATCTCCATGTAGGATATTGACTCGGATAATTACGGAAATAATGCATTTCTAATATCGGATAACTGTTATTATTAAAATCACCCTTGGTTATTCTGAAGCTTATATTTAGAAAATATGCAAACTCGAAAGCCAAAGAAAACTTTTCGCCACATTGGATAGTGTCTACAAACTCACGGTTGAGTCTGCCGGTTATGTGACGCCTATTGCATCACATGTATGAGTCGCGATACACACATCCCTGAATTCTGCATACATGTGAGAATCAAATGACTAATTGTTTTTGTCACGACTACAAATGGTCCAGATGAAGTCAAACGAAATAAATCAGGTGTGAAAGCGAACGCTGTGCTCTGAAAACTGAACTCGTTTGAAAACGTAAATATTGAGATATTATCGCAGCAAGCAGTAGGCCTTTAGAAATGTGTGTATAAGAGGACTAATAAGTTCTAACTCTCCATAACTTTCTTCACTGATAATGAAGACTTGAATTTCTTTGGGGCCGGAGCAGTGGTTGGTGCCATTCCATGAATCGATGCTTTGACTCGCGATCAAAGTGGTGTCATGTTTCATTTTTTTTTAATTTGATGAAATCTTCCTCAATTAGCTCTAAATTTTCTCTGGCAATGTCACCTTTATTTCCTGAGTATAGTTGCAATTATGATGTGGAATTTGCATATATATGCTCTCTGCCTCATAGCATTCATTAACCTGATGAAGGAGTAAGCATATACTCCGAAATGTTGTGTCTCATAGTTGACATCCATACATTCTCTCCCTCATGTGTATCACGTCTGGATGCCATTAAAGGACTTGTCTGTCTATGACATGTACTGACACCTAAACGGTAATGGATTCCATTTTAATAGTTGTTCTGGAACATATGAACAAAACAATACAATCATAATATACGTTCAAAGGTATAACAGACGAACCAATGTACACCCCTTTTTTAACCATATGATCTGCTTTATTTTAGAGATAATTCTTCCAATTTTATACTTTGAGGGGCCCATGTCGTACATGGACGTGTTCTTTTCTTACATTTTACCATGTACGTGGCATTGTGACAGTACTTAACGACACGTCAGATATACCATTATCAGGCAACATAAATGAAGTTTTGTTTCAGTAACTGGTCTGGACTTACGGCTGTCAATCTCTTCTGTTGGAATAATAGTGACCTTCTACACAGCTCTGGTAGGGATATTAATAAATTAATCGAGGTCAGAATAGGTGCGTAGTACGACACGATAAACATATTAAAAGTTGGGTTAACTAGAAAAGTAACAGCATTACATGCATCAATATTTTAAGAAGCCCCTTCACAACTATTTCCTGAAAGTGAGCAACCTGGTACTTTGTTACTCATTTACTCATGTTTTACGCCAAGCAAGAACAATATAATGAAGAATGTGGACTTCAGACACCAGCCGTTACTTCCAGTTTTGAATAACATATTATTTATACATTAGGATTTCAACGTATATATAAACTTACAATGTCACACATCAAGTTGCTTTTTTTCATGGTATATATTCTAAAATGTTTCATATAAATTCATCTTGAACCCAATATCCATCAATGATGTTTTGACATATCGCATTCTCACCTAATGTTACCTGATAAATAAGCTCATTTAACTCGAATTGTCTGGTGGAAAGACAAAGAACGATTAAAAAGTGAAGCATGTGTTTGAAACTACCCCCGAGTTCCCACAGTAAATATTCGGAAACAGTGAAAACATTATATACTGCGACGTCGGGTCAACACATCGGTGTTATTCCCATAAGTATATATACATTTGCATGTGTTTATAGGGAGGGATGAAGACAGTGTTATGGACGGACAGTCTACAGACAATCATCATAGTTCTTGGGCTCATCTCTCTGCTGGTTCAGGGATCCCTGGCGGTGGGAGGATTCTCTAAGGCCTGGGAAATTGCAAGGGAGAGGACCCGCCTACGATTCTTTGAGTGTGTAGAATTCTAGATAGAGGGAGCAACTTGCACAAGAGAATTCCACCGTTGTATCCGTATATGAACATCCGGCCAAATCCTTGTCAACGTATCAACATATTACCACCCCTTTGACCATACATCAACCTACTACCACAATTTTGTCCATACATCAACGTACTACCAGTTTTGTCCTAACATCAACATACTACCAAAGTTTTGTCCATACATCAACATACTACCAAAGCTTTTTCCATACATCAACATACTACCGCAGTTTTGTCCATACATCAACATACTACCACAGATGTGTCCATACATCAACATACTACCACAGTTTTGCCCATACATCAACAAATTATCACCCCTTTGACCATACATGAACTTACTACCACAGTTTTGTCCATACATCAACATACTACCACAGTTTCGTCCATACATCACAATACTACCACAGTTTTGTCCATACATCAACCTACTACCACAATTTTGTCCATACATCAACATACTACCAGTTTTGTCCATACATCAACATACTACCAAAGCTTTGTCCATACATCAACATACTACCACAGTTTTGTCCATACATCAACATACTATTACAGATGTGTTCATACATCAACATACTACCAACGCTTTGTCCATACATCGACATACTACCACAGATGTGTCCATACATCAACATACTACCACAATTTTGACCATACATCAACATACTACCAGTTTTGTCCATACATTAACATACTACTACAGATGTGTCCATACATTAACATACTACTACAGTTTTGTCCATACATCAACATACTACCACAGTTTTGTCCATACATCAACATACTACCACAGTTTCGTCCATACATCACAATACTACCACAGTTTTGTCCAGACATCAACTTACCGCCACAGATGTGTTCATACATCAACTTACTACCACATTTTGGCCATACATCAACATACTACCACAGTTTTGTCCATACATTAACATACTACTACAGATGTGTCCATACATTAACATACTACTACAGTTTTGTCCATACATCAACATACTACCACAGTTTTGTCCATACATCAACATACTATTACAGATGTGTTCATACATCAACATACTACCAACGCTTTGTCCATACATCAACATACTACCACAGATGTGTCCATACATCAACATACTACCACAATTTTGACCATACATCAACTTATAAAATTACTACCACAGTTTTGTCCAGACATCAACTTACCGCCACAGATGTGTTCATACATCAACTTACTACCACATTTTGGCCATACATCAACATACTACCACAGTTTTGTCCATACATTAACATACTACTACAGATGTGTCCATACATTAACATACTACTACAGTTTTGTCCATACATCAACATACTACCACAGTTTTGTCCATACATCAACATACTATTACAGATGTGTTCATACATCAACATACTACCAACGCTTTGTCCATACATCAACATACTACCACAGATGTGTCCATACATCAACATACTACCACAATTTTGACCATACATCAACTTATAAAATTACTACCACAGTTTTGTCCAGACATCAACTTACCGCCACAGATGTGTTCATACATCAACTTACTACCACATTTTGGCCATACATCAACATACTACCACAGTTTTGTCCATACATTAACATACTACTTCAGATGTGTCCATACATTAACATACTACTACAGATGTGTCCATATATCATCATGCTCACACAGATGTGCCCATATGTCAACATGTTACCACAGAGATGTCAAAACTTAACATACTATCATAATATGTCCAAATTAGCTTTCAAACACCAATATATAGCCAACATAACATATATGTACTAACAAACACGGATCGTGACGTATGCTGCTCCGTTCGTTTTGAGGTCTCTATGCAATATCTTTTTTTTGGAAAGATGATATTATGTCTGACGATTCATAAAATAAAACTAAAGTACAACGAAAGTAGTAACCTAAATTTAGGAGAAAACACACGTAAAAGTGATAAGGTTAGATTTGTAATTTCACATGAAATACATGTATCTCACCGAATTTACTGTAGTGTGCAGGCAGTAATTCCGAGTACGTGGGGAAAATTTACAAATGGTTCGTATAAAGACATACCCCCCTTAAGAATAAAAAATGTCTTGAATCAGAAATAATTGCAGGTGAGTAAAGAAGATTTAAGTACATGCCTGTATCAATTGTTACATGAAGACAGGTCCATATAACCCTACCATCCAGCAAATGTACCACAAAAATCCCTGCCTCAAAGGTTACCAGAATCGTTTTTACAACCACAGAAGGGCTTTCCTTACGTTAACACAATGTATTTGAGAAAAGTGGAATTAATATCATGTTGATTTTCAACTATTCAAAGGTTTTTCTTACACTTTTGTTATTTCGGAATAGATCATTATGGGAATGGTTTTATATGTAAGTTCACTTCCTAGGAAAGAGGAAACAACTAATACAGAAAGTTACTTTTGTGGTTACTGGGCGTTCATGATCGATCACACGTTTGACTCACACAACTCGATAATAATATGTTGCTTAACATTGGGACTGTATTAAAAGCAGCATTTACCTGTAAAAGTAGTTTGTTTGGAATGTATGGATAGGTTGATGAGTAAAAAAGACTCCGACTTATATACGTTTAGAAAAGAAATGGGAAATAAAGATGTTGATGCTGTTCTGGATTTAATCCACCACATACTAGTATATTTGCTACTGCTTCAAATGGTGATCTAAACTGGGCTGAATGGTAATGAACTGTCTCACAACAATACACCCTTTTTGGATGAGCGTTGAAAAGTTCCCCAGTGTCAAAATGTGTCGAACGATTTTAAATACACATTGGTGCTAATTGTACTATTATATGATAAATTCAAATCAGGAGTCATATGCCATCGATGACACGTTATGTTTTGTTATCCGACTTTTATTATATGTTTTGTTACGTTAACAGTGACAGTTCTGACACCAGATGAGTTAAAAAGCTTTTTGTGAATTCATCCCAAGTGAAATGAAATGGTCTTCTGGCTTGTTGTAAAAATAAATGATTGAATAATTATGAGCAGTCCAACTCGATGTATACTTTCTTTTGATCAGTAGTTTAGCATATTTTTCATATTTGAATGGCACAAAGAATATTAACTTAATTGAATAGTCCTCTACGTCTCACATGAAAAAAAGACATAGAGCCATACATTTCAACATCACCTTCTCGTGGCTATTGTGTGTAATAAAAAACAAAGTTTTAACTCCAGATACTCTTGTTAATTATATGTTCTGGGCTTTGTTAATTATATGTTCTGGGCTTGATGTCTCAGATTGTGTAAACACAGAGAAAATTGATTCTTGAATATTTTGAACATGGTTAATGTTTTTCTTTTGTAACAGACACAGTAACGTTGTAACTGATCTATATTATGCCTCCGATTTAGTTTCAACCCCAGCCCGGGGGTGCGGCATTCGGTGTGGTCTTTGGTTGTGGGTGGAGGAATCATGTGGATGTCCTATCTAGGGGTTAACCAAGTGCAGATACAGAGACTCATGTCCTGTCCTACCCTCAGAAAGGCGAAAACGTAAGTATCACACTCCAGGATATCCTTTCATAGGACTGTTGCATTTGTAAATATAAAACGTCCACCCAGGAATCAGTCATCATCCTGAGGCATGGTCGTCCACTATCCTATATCAAAGCCCTGTTTTCACTCATGCCATTCCAAATGTAGTGTCTTGTCTTGGCTCGACTCTGACGCCGTCAGTCCGTGTAGAACACGAGTTATGTCCCTTGTGATGAAAACGCCATATTCGGTCAGATCGATGTTCCTATTTCGAATGTCGATCGGATAACGAAAGGATTCGAGATTTCATCCGTGACAATCGATTTTAAAAAATGTAAGGCGACCTCAGTACAGTGAAGAATTGTATTTGGTTTTATATTAGATCAATACATAAATAAGTATATTAAGATGTTGTCAGAGACAGTGTGTTATCGGTCCTCGTGTGTTTTTCATTTGCCGAGATGTTCCGTTTTATAGCGGGATTAGCGATTCACGGGTATTTCACAAAATGAATTGTATATACATGTACACAGACGTCCGAATTATATCAATCGTCTGGAAGAGATCGTTTTTCTTTAATATGTTAAAGCTTTGAAACAAATTTATCATACAAAACTGGCATGGCTCGAACAGGAGATATCGCTTGGGTGAGATCATTGTAGATATCGCGGCAATGTAATTGCATCACAGTGCTTTGTAGGCCATTGTGACGGCATTGTTACCATGACGTCACAATCAAATGAAATCACTAATGTCTCTGTTAATGAAGCTGTTAGGAGTACTTTTTACACGAAGACACTGCGTGTTACTGTCTACAAACTGAAAAAGTTGGAAGAGTGTCGTTGGATGGTAAATATAATATCACCCTCGTGTCTTTTGATACCAAATATATCAACACTCGTTGATATATTTGCTATCACATGACACGAGGGTGAGATTCTCTGTTTGTAACCTTGAATATGTTATACAACTGTGTATTTTTTCAGAAGGAAATCAGGCATTTGGACAATAATTTCGATTGTTCTGTTTATTACAGGGCGCTGTGGTTGAGTTCTGTAGGCCTTGTAGTCATTGTGACTTTGTGCATACTGATAGGGGTGCTCATACACGCATTCTACAAGGACTGTGACCCATTAAAGTTCAATGACCTCATATCTAGTTCAGATCAGGTGAGCTATGCAACAGGTTGAAACTATTTTGATATATGATGGTCGGTTTATACTTTGATGGTTCTGGTTATGTAGAAATTTCAGTTTTAATACCAGACACATATATTTGTTGTCGTTTATAATTATTGTCATACATTTCAATAAAACAGGTACAAATTATTGATGTTACTTGTAGATGGTGGCTATGACTGGTGGTTCTGGTGTATAAGTGTTACTCCGTATGTACACGGCTCAGTTAAAGACAAAATGTCCCTCAGCTGAAGAGGAGAGAACAGAAAACGCCGACGCAACTGTAAATACATATTAACTCTGAACGTACATATCAGGGATTAAGTTTTTGATAGGACATTTAGTTGGGACCTGTTGATATCGACCAGCCGTCTCGATGCTTCGTAAAATATGGACTTGGGATATGGAATAGTGACATAACAAAAGATATGACTTATTTTTAATCACGAATGGATAATTATGATATCGAGATATACGTTTTCCTATTAACTAAATTTTGATCAAAGCTCCGTCGCATTCGAATGGGGCATCGAAGTCAGCTAATTATAAAAAAAACGGTAGAATAATATCTGCCGACTAGTCCACACATCTCACCATAAATGACAAATCACAATGTTAAATTAAATATTGAATAATGCTGATGGGCTTGGTTGTATTGTTAGTTTATTCTTATTTTATAGGTCACAAAGAGCGGCACTTCGGGTAAAACCGGAAATATGCCTTGGAGTCTCCGATTCTCCCAGGTTTTTTTTATCTCATATAGTTACATATTACACTGTAGGTCGCAAGTAAAACAGTGGGTTAGTCGATTACCAGAAAATTATAAATGAATCGTCCTGATATAATCGTATTCGTACAATGGATATGTCGTATGATCTTGGAAAGGTTTTGTTGATTGTGTTCCGGCTAATGTCTTGACGATGTTGAATTATTACTAAAAGGACATTCCTCAATAATCGAATTAACGGTTTAGAATAAGACAGATTGCAAGGTCATATAATGTACCATAGTATAACATGTACATGATTACAATCAATAATGAGTTCTCTTTAAACAACGACAAATACTGCATATTCTATTTACAAATATATATATTCATAGCAACACAGCACACTGACAGAAACAATTTGTAAAGTTTGCTAACTTCTTTTTTCTTTTGACATGAGGGGCGGTCGGGTAGCCTAGTGGTTAAAGCGTTTGCTCGTCACGCCGAAGACCCGGGTTCGAATCCCGACATGGGTACAATGAGTGAAGCCCATTTCTGGTGTCCCCCGCCGTGATATTGCTGGAATATTGCTAAAAGCGGCGTAAAACCATACTCATTCACTTTTGACCTGATCATTGAAAGGGTCGCCTCGTTTTACCTGGAGATGACAGTTTGCGAAATGCTCACATGGTGTCTTCTGGTACAAGTATAACGGTGAAAGATATAGTTTTGGTATATAAAAGAAATACTGATTCACTTATACCTGAATTCCCCCTATGAAAACATTAGGCTTCCACCGACCTCACATCCCTGGTCTCTTTCGTTTTTACCAAAGAGTTCACATGTATTTTGTCATTGTGTCTTTGAATCTACGTTCCAAATCACAGAACGTTTATTTCATAATTCTACCGCAGACAATAACCGCGAACACTTTGGTAAAAGGGGGCGAGATATAATGTCGCATCTTTTAAATATTATGAATATTTTGACACACGTAGTATAAATAATCTTGGACCCGAAACGCAATATTTCGCGGCTTATACTTAACTAAATTAGCATTTGAACTCACCTACTGTTCAGATTTCTTGCAAGTGTGTTAACATTTTCATTTCAGTTACTTCCACTGTTTGCAATGGACATATTCGCAACAACCCCTGCTCTACCAGGCATTTTTCTAGCATGCATTTTCAGCGGGAGTTTAAGGTAGTGTATGAGAAATTTCCACTGACTCCTTTTGTGCGAAAATTGTGCAACATAGAAGATGAAGCTTTCAACTGGTTTGAGTGAATTAGTGTTGATTGCATACTACTGAGAGGAGGCGGGAGGCCCATTTTCTGAGGCATCTGAATTCGCTCTGATTAAATTCATTAGATATTAGCCCTGATTATTATCCCCGCCACCAGGTGACTGCCCGATTCTCAATGGGGACAAGTTTGATGAAACACTATTTAAGTTAGAGATATGATATTTAAATCACTGATGTTACTGGTCATGATCTCAATTGATAAAAAATTGATGTCTGAAATTCATTGTTTACAGAGTTATGGCCCTTGCTCCAATGCTGTGCTTTTCAACTTAGTGCATACTGTTTGAGTTTTCTCAATAACAAGTTACCTTAGAGAAATGAAATTTTACTTACAGATATTAAAGGTCACGATCTCAATTGAGTTAAAAAAAGTGGTGTCTGAATTTCATCTTTTACAGAGTTATGGCCCTTGCTCAATGGTTTTCAACTTAGTGTATAATGCATGATATAGGGTCAAACGTGTTCACAGAAACTACAGGAATGAAAGTTTTCATGCTCATGCTCATCTAAGAGATGTTTGTCAAGAACGAAAGCCGAATGGTGCCACTTTGGTGGCACAATTTATTTTTATTTGAATTATTTTCTCGAAATTTCGAGTTCTTTCTCTTGACTTCGATCATTATATTATTTGTATTTACTTGAAATAATGGGTAAATAATCGACATAACGCGGAGTGTTTGGAGTTTTCTCAAATAAACTATAAACTAAATAAATTATGAGAAAATAGTCGAAATTATTTGAATAAACGAGAACTAACGAGAAAATAATTGAAATTACGAAAATATAATCGAAATAACAAGAAAACACTCGCAATTTCTAGAAAATAAACAAATAATTAAAATATAGAGAATGTTCGATTAAATATATAAATTTAACATTTGTTATTGTTTTCAAGAAACATGGGGTATAACGTTAACACAATCATAGTGGTATTCATGATACCATTGACACTGATATAAGTACAGTGGTAAAGTTTTTAATATTTTTTAATAATTAATCTTTTCATGCAGAAAGTTCTAACATTGAAACCCACAACGTGGTTTTTAACCATGAACCACACTTTTCTATGAGAGTTACCTCCCTAATGATTACTATATATTTAATCCTGTAGCGTCAACATTAATTATTCATACTGTCCTAAGTGCTAAAATCTCGCTTTACACGGCAACTGTATCAACGTTTCCCGCATGGCGATATGCTGTACACCTGTCCCCGTCATCTCGACAGACAGGCCCGATTTACAGAAATGGGTCAACGTTTCACCGCAGCGAAATGCTGTATTGGGAATTTGGTTGGATAGAATTAGACTAGTACCCTGTCCTTCGCATCCTCGCGGCTGCAAGCGATGAGCGCAAGCGCACTAGGGCAGGTAAACCTGTCTAAGATAGGGCTCTCCCTCTCATGATTGTTGCCGAATAACGTAATATTGTTTACTGTAATAAGTTTCAGTTAGGAATGTTTTGAAAAATAGTTTCACAACGGAACTATTTACATCGTATACATATGGGAGACACAGATAAAATCTGTGTTGAACATTTTGTTACGTCTTTTTCCAAAGATTACTCATCCCCCGTCCCCATGTAATTTTCTCAAACCCATAACAAATTAAGGCACGGCTCCTGGCGCCGTGCGATCATGGGGACACAGATGTGAGTGACAGACCCCTTGGGGATTGTGTGTAGGAATATATATGTAGGTCCTGTTTAACAGAGGCGACTAAATGGATTGTTTTCAATTCATGCGCTACCTTATTTTTAATGCCCTGTAGCTAATATCTTTTTAAGCAGTTTTCATTCGAAAGTGACATCCGAGAGCTTCCCATGTTTTACAGCACGCTGTCGTCGGGTCTAAACGCCGTTGCTGCAGTCATGTTGGAGGACTACATCCGGCCCTACTGCTGCATCACCATCACCGACTTCCGGGCCACTGTCCTCTCGAAATGTCTTGGTGAGAATAATGTTGAATACACACACGTAGCGACGTACTTTCACGTCGTGTCCCAGCGTTCTAAGATGCCATTGTGTAACGTTCATAATTGCTGAATTCATTGATTGCGGGTCTTGATCCATGGTTTCATAAGTATGAATCTTGGTGTGTGAGCATTACATCATACCATGGTGAAAACGTCTATTTTCACTTAACTACTGTTCAAATCAGCGTGCAACACATGCATCTCACATAACCTATGGACGCACAACTGTCTTACAAGATTAACAATTTATTACAGTGATCATTTTTGGAGCCTTGAGTCTGGCTTTGGCGTACGTTGTTTCATCTTTGGGAAATATTCTTCAGGTACGAAAACATTCTTATTGACACAAAACAACAACAGACACATTATATTATATAATGTTCAAGTGTTTTACTAAGTAGGGGCGGTCGGGTAGCCTAGTAGTTACAGGCTACGCTCGTCACGCCGAAGACCCGGGTTCGAAGCCCATTTCTGGTGTCACCCGCCGTGATATTGCTGGTATATTGCTAAAAGCGACGTAAAATCAAGCTAACTCATTCACTCATTTTACAAATTATGTTTTATTTCTTAATCGATATGTTGTCAACGTAGATATTATTTAATGGATTTGTACGAACAATTTGACAGGATTATCGTTCTTGATTCTAAATCTAATTAAAGTGTAAACACATTCTTTCTCCAGATTTGTTACGCAGTAATGAGCATTTTAGACGGTCCTCTGTTTGGCCTTTTTGTCCTTGGGATGTTTTGCCCTTGCGCAAATTCTGTTGTAAGTATCATCGTCTCTTTTAGACATTCTAATTATACTTTGTAATTGTAACGACAGACATTGTGATGTTCCTTATATACCATATGCAAATTGCGACACAATGATGACCAGTTGAAAATCGACGTGGCAAAACATTATTGATGCCCTCAATAATATTAAGACGAAAGTTGTATGCTTGTATCAAATGCTTGATTATTTCTAATTTCGAAAAGGGGTGCATGCACGGAAGCAGAACTACAATAAGGATAACTATTCCCGTGACCTTGACCTTCAATGAAGGCCATTAAAAAATAGCACCAATTCCATGTCCCACCTCATCCTATGATAATGAACACTTCTTAATTTATCTCGAACATAATACATTTTAGGGCATGGCCTTGAGAGTAGTTTGACCTTCAATCTGAGTGACAGGTATCCACTTATTTTATTGCAAATGGATTAGGTACAAGTAACAAATGCGTGAGGCCTACCCCTGTATACATTTCAATATATTAAGGTATATAGTTTTTTCGGAACCACAAAAGAAACGCAAGAAACAAAATGTTGAATTATGTATTTTCAAGAAATGATGCAAGTGGATTATGTCAATGGCAAACAAACATGGGAAATATGGATATTTGGGTTGCGACATTGCTCCATGTCCACGTCCTGGATCAATATTGTAGATCATGTCTGGACCAAGACTTTGATTCCGACCATTGACAGTTGACAGCCCATGTCATCAGACTAGCACCATCCAGTCCATCTCTTTCCATCACATATTTGTCAGCGTAGCTAACGGCTTATATCTAAACCATATTCAAACTTTGCCGTCAGCATATAAAATGCAGAAACAACGTTCATCCGAGAACATAACATTATCTACTGTGGATGACACAAGTTAGGGTGCAATGTTACCCCTTTCGGTACTTGGGAACTTGACGGCACCAAAACTGTTAATAATCGGTTACGAACTCCTAGGTGTGTCGCGTTGGCTGGAAGAAATCAATCAGGGCGATGGACGTGTCTTTTATTGGCGTGGTAAATCTCGGACTGACGCTGCACGATAGGTCATCAATGTAGTGAAAACATTCTTGGAATCGGTAGTTGGTTGTAATGTGAACACTGCATTAACACTGTATTGAGGCGTAATATGGCTTGATCTCGATTTTGAATTGTCAGCACGAAACTGGATGTGTAACACTGTCAGTGTTTGATGAAGCAACCATTTCGTCACAGCTTTATTTAATAACCATGCATTGACATTTCCAGGAACTTTTAAATGGATCCAAACTGTTCAATGGATAACATACTGCCACAATGAACCTAACATCATTAGCAGTTGCATGATAATTGAACTCGCTATCATTAAATACCTTTCTGCAAAACCCTGAGTTGATGAGTACAAATATTACCCTGACATTCCACAGGGCTACTCCACACATAAACCAAATACTAGTATTATGTCCCTTGTGCTTTTCATTGAAAGTAAGTCACACCGACTGCCAATGATATCATTAAATTGTCATCGGTTGTCAGGCATTATTATCTAAATCATACAACATGCGGGAAATCTGCACAAAAACATATTCACTGTGACCCTGGTCTTATGGGGAATGTCACAGTCTTTCAAATCGCGTCCCTTTGCATGTACTACATTTTTCTGAGTTTTCATAGCGTTGCACGGATTCAAAAATAAAAAAAACAGAGGTACCGTCATATTAAAAAAAACAACCTAATGCAACACCATTTAAATGGTTTACATAATGGTTCATTTGCTGGGGTCTTCATAATAATAACATGTTATCAACTTGAAAGGTATAAAGGATATTACACGTGAGATAGGGACATTTGATGATCTGGCATTTTGCATAAATGTCTACGAGAACAAATGACATCATGGTCTCTGTTTCAGGGTGCTACCGCTGGCTATTTCACGTCTTTAATATTTATGTTATGGATTGGTATCGGTGCGTACCTCAATGGTGTATCAACGCAAGTATCCAGTACGTTTGTCAACGGATGCAACTGGGACATAATTGGTGCCAATGATACAGGACTGCACACTGCTCACAACTTCACCAACGATGATGGTCGTGCTGACGAAGAAGTAGCAGCAAAGTATGTGATGTTAGGTTTTGGTAGTAAAACGCCTTAAGTTGTGTTTCACAATATTGAATATTGGACATACTACAGGCTCTGTTTCATTTAGATAATGCTTGACAAATGCCATCGATAGCATTGAATCCCGATAAACATGGGGTCCTCTTTCAGTATCTGACAGTCAAATATTTGAATTTGTCTATTTTCAGGGGCTACTTATCAATTTATGATTTGTCATACATCTACTACTCTGCCACGGGTATGATTGTCGTGGTCTTCGTTGGGATCGTTGTGAGTCTCCTTTCACGTATGTATGTTTGGTTGCCTAATTGCATTCTTGATCACAGATATACAAACGCATTCATTTACACGAGGTGTTAATATTGAAATGTAACAATAGAGATTACATTTTCGACTCCCTTTACTAAAAACATCAATTTCTTACACATAACTAATGCCAACTACAGTGAACTCTTTGTCTAATGGAGTGTAAATAAAATCAGCAAAAACCCTTTACAATCAGAACAAATTTGTGATTATCCTAGAGTTAATTGTATAATTCAGACTATATCATAATCATGTGTTTAGGAATCACCTTCTCTCTATATAGCTATGTGGCATCACAGAAAAGCAACGCTACTATGTCTTCAATCACTTTCCAATCGGGATGTCATAAAGGAAAGTGACCTCTCCTACATACTGGCGGAAATTCTTAACAATGGGAACTGTTGATCAATGTGCAATTTGGACAGAAGAAATGAGTTTTCTTTCCCCGTGGGGTGTTTTATTTATGACTACACACAGACATTGTATATACATGTATGTATTTCAAAACATGTGAAGACAAAGGTAAAGTCCCAACAGGTTCAGTTGAAATCGAAGATTTTCATTTTTCTTCCAAGTTGCCATTAATGGGAACGTGTTGCAGAACGAGGATTTGGAAGCTCACCATGTAAATTCCTCTACTTGAGGCTGTCAAGACTCGTAATGCAACTAACAGGTTGATCATACAATGACAGGTGTCTCCTACATGTCTGTCCATGACAATAACTATCTTCGTCAGTTATTCAAATATGGGCCAAAATATTTTGAAAGCCTGCTGTTGGAATCACCATTGATGCTTTTCAGCCATATGTTAAAATATCCCATGTGATAGAGGGGATGAACATGTTAAATAATGTCAAAGTGAGTTACGTCAGACCGTGATGTTGTAATTGGTAGAATGCACAAACTGATTTAAGATTAATATGTTCTGTCCCAGGCAGCTCTCATAAAAACTCTGGCTCCGCTATAGCTACGTGAACAGTTCGTAGTTGTCCACTCTGATAAGGCATCACCTAACATAACCATCATATAAAAAACATCACAAGGTTAATTCTTTTATCAAAGAACTTGCCACATACAGTGTCACTTTTTAACTTAGAGTGAAATCTGACAAGGCCACGTATCTTTCACCTTCGCCCGACTCTAAAACCTAAAGCCATATCATTCCTCTTTTGTTCTGGGTTCAAATGCTCAATAAGAATCCCTGCAAATAGAGATACATGTATATTGCTAGGTAGCAATAAATACATGTCCCAGTGATCATAACCTTAATACCAGAATGGAAGAACTTCGTGATAGAGCATTTGAGTCTAGTAGAATTAATACCATATTGATCCTGAAAACATCAAACGATTTACCCGAGTGTTTGCAATGTTAGAAAAGAATCAACATCAATTATGTCTTCAACTTCATTAGTTCAGTCGACACACATGAGGGAAACTGTCACTGAAAGTGGTGACTATAGACAAATATATTCTTTTACGGAGTTAACAATATGTGAAATTTGTGGATAGGACTTGAAATGTTTCTTTATGCATATGAATCAGAATGTCTGCTCAGATTGGTACATCTGAGCACGGAAATTTGGCCAAGAAGTGTAACGTAACCTTTAGGTATAATAACGATCTGACATCGTTCATTAATGGTCAAATAGCAAATTCCCTTAAGCTGATTACACATCTGAACTAGAATGGTCAATGAAATAACATCATCTGTTTCATTTTTAGATCTATACCTTAGGATTCATAGTGACAAAAATAACTATCCTGAATACTGTAAGCACTTACAGCAAAGATTTCAAAGATTATCGTAATAGGCGTTTAATCAGGATTACAGCATTCAATGTCTCAATAAATCTTTCTAAAAGCTGCATGGTGGACATGTGAAGGACATCCCAAGTATGACCCATCAGTGACAAGCATCATGGCTAATGCAATTCTCTACTTAGGGTTGTACCATACATCCGCGTGATTGGTTTATGGTGAACAATTGACTTGTCTTTGCAAGGATTTGTGACAGTGCGGCAGGATATGCTCACCTTTTCATGAACACTTGTTTTCATCACTATTTGAAAGTGATTTATAAATACGAATAATCGGAATCTTACATTTAACTGTTAAGGGAATGTGTGGATGTAGATCATAATCTTTGAGCATTTAAACATAATCATGTAGTCTTGCCGTGACTAGTTTTATTCTACACTAGAAATACGGTAGATTGACACTGCTTGCTTGAAACTTGATAGCGAGATTCAAATGGCAGTTTTCGTCAATTATTTCACTGACAAGCCATAACAAAACGAAATAAGAAAAGTTACACTTTGTGACTAAAGCTCAAGGAATAAGTAAAAATCAAGACATTTTCCGCATTTAACACAGCTAGCTGTTGTACATATGAAACTTTCCATTTTAGAACATTGACATTTGATACGAAATTGCTATGTATGACTCACACAGTGTTTTCCTTATATATATTCTTCATACTTACAAATTCATGGGCCCCATACACCGTACACAAATGAAAGTGCAACCTCAGTTGACAACATGTCCTTTGCCTTGCACAAGCATTTATCGGATGATTTATCAGGGAAAAGCTGATAGAATTATTTAACGTGAAGATGAAGCACGCAATGCCATCCTGACAAATCTGATAACAGTGCCTATGTATTCTTTTCCAGGACGGTTTTCTCCCGAAACTCCTGCATCTTCCCAGTACAGCCGATCAATTCTGGACGAACTATGCCAATGTCTGCCTGAGAAGGTTCTGAAGGTGTTTCGATGCAATAAACAACCAGAACAGGTATATTATAGAAGTAGATTGACAAATCAACTCTATCTTAGATATGGTCTCAGCAGACACATTGGAAAACAATGGGAAGTGAATGATAAATTAGTCGATGCATTAAACTGTTTCATTTTTCTCATGTGGCTTACACTTGAAATCATTAAATCATCTCAAATGCAATATTTGCTTGATATATTTTCCAGCAGTACCAGTCGACGAATGAAGAGATCCCATTTGACGTTACAGCCACAGATATCTAGCCATGCTGCTGTGTAATATGGTATCAAATATCTTTGGTTCTCATTTCTTGGTTCGAGGACAATCTTGATAAAAAAAAGCATAGCATAATGTGCAGAATGGGTAAACATCATACATGAGCGATCGATTAAGGATTACAGGATCCAGTCGTTACAGAAATGGTTGTACTAATGATTAGATATGGCGAGAGTATTCAATAGATTGGCAGGATGAGTACGACCAGCGTATGTCTATGTATCATTGTCAAGGATGTGTAATTTGAGCTGGTAGTGTTTTGTCGCCTTTGATTAACTGATTTGAGAATATGCATTTTGTTTTCACACAAAGAGTTGTCTAATGTATAAGATAATAGAAAAGTCGCATCACATGTTATATAATGAATCGATACAATTGGAGTGGGTTAGAGGTGAACATTCTTGTCTGGTTGGTTTGAGTGAGTGAGTTTGGTTTTACGCCGCTTTTAGCAATATTCCAGCAATATCACGGCGGGGGACACCAGAAATGGGCTTCACACATTGTACCCATGTCGGGATTCGAACCCTGGTCTTCGGCGTGACGAGCGAACGCTTTAGCCACTAGGCTACCCGACCGCCCCTTCCGGTTGGTTTGAGCAGATGTAGCGAGCTGGTGTTCGTGGTCATTGATCATGAAGAGCCCCCAAAAGATGATGCAGGCGACGAAGCTTCGATGTCGCCAGGGGTTTACGTACAGGATTGGTGGGGATGATACAAAAATTTATTGGAAAGAAGCTGCTGATGTTTCTCTTAATAGATTTAAACTTCCAAAAGAAATTAATATACATAAACAATAACGAAACTCGGTTAGCAACTGTGAACATAACTGCTATTATAGATACACACTTTGGAATTTTCTGATAGGGTCTGACTGTCTGTATGTAGTTTATCTGTGGTATGATGGTTCACCACCCTTTTTATATAGTATAACATTGTATACTTTTACCATAGGACATAATCATCAGATTGTGTGTTTATTTATTTGTTTGTTTGTTATTTAACATCGCACTCCAGCTATATGACGGTCCACGTCATTGGTAACCTCTTACGACAAGCATAGTCGCCTTTTATGGCAAGAGTGTTGAGTAAAGTAACTCAGGTGTAAATAGGTCTCAACCGACTTAATTTGCTGTCCATGCATCTTGTCAATATCTTGTCAAAGTGTTGTTTTAGCTACTCTCATTGTATTACTGTCATACAGTTGCTTTGCTAATCAGCTTTTGAATTTGCTCTGAATCAATTAATCAGTGATCATTGTCAGTGTAAATTTGGTTTTTGATCTTTTATGTTGTCGTTTATGGATATAATTAGCTGCAAGTAATTATAATAAACTTGTGAACCTATTGCCACGTTTTCATTATTACCTATTCTTGTTCAATGACACCCTAGAGCAAAGCTCCGTGACTCTCAGATTCAGATCAACCTAAAGTTTTGAAGTTTGTTATACCTAAAAATTAGATCAATCAAGACAAGTGTCATTATCCCATCATTGCCACGTTTTCTTTTAACTGGTTTTATTAGTCCATTTGTCCATTCGGATGGAAAATATCCAGTTGTAAAAATTGGAATAAGACCCAAATTCAAATCCACTTACATTATTACAGTGGAATTAAGGTGTCAGGTCAATGTATCAATAACTAAGTTATTGTGTCAACATACCAAAAAGATATATCAAATTTTAAGAGTTGTAATATTCAAAACTCCATTTAACCCCAAAAGTTATTTTAGATCAAGTTCTTCAACTCAATTCCCAATAGCACCCGTACGCTCGATTTCATCCAAAACTGAAAAGTCCAATGAGGGAATTACTTCTGTATTTGAAACATTTCCTCAGCATCACAGTTTCCAAGACTTTCGTTTTTATTAGCAGATGACTCAATGCGTATCGGTGAGGTGAGGTGAAATTGGGTTTAACGTCGCGTCCAAGATTATTGCACTTATATAGCGACGTGCATGCACGTGTATGTGTGTGTGTGGCTGCTTGTACTAGTCCGGACTGATGCCGATTTATAGTGCTAGCTCACTGAGATACCATGCCGCAGTTTAACATGAATACCCCACTCAGACACAGTATACTGACTCCGAGCCGACCAGTCCTTGTTTTAGCCCCTTAATGCCGAGCGCCAGACAGGGTAACAACAAGTACAATCTTTTAACGTCTTTTTGTATGACGCGGCCCGGGATCGAACCCTGGACCTTCCGCTCTCCGGGCGGACGCTCTACCACAAGACCACGGAGGCGGTCTCAATGCGTATCGAAAATTAACTAATATTTTCTTGTTGTTACAGTTCTAGTGCTTACTTTTTGATCTGTTACACATATTCATTTGACCTGCAACACTTGCTGTATATGACGATTGTGTACTTATTGCAACAGTTAACCACATTTCGACCATCTTGCCGAAGCAAGGGAGTTAACTGACTATAAAAGTCCAGTTAACACTTTTGAAGTCAGTTAACTCTCTTGCCTCGGGATGATGCATTGCGACAGGTTGTCATATCATGACAGGTTAGATACTGGTGACAGTTCATGTGAAGCTACACGTTTGAAACAAATAATAATCGGTTAACGACGCATGCACAAGCACCATCTTGTCATGAATCTACTAACCCCTTACTCTGAAAAGTTTCTACATTGTGGTGCGCAGTGTAAACTAAACATGAATTTACCCAGCAATCAATTTAACGTGAAATTATGGCTTGGCCTTTTGTTTTTTTTGCACCAAGCACATACATTTACCCATTCACGAATTTCCGCTCTTGAAGATATGATCCAGAACTTTGACGTCAACGAGGGTGTTGTGCTATTGGTTCCCATGTGGGGACATTTTTCATGATGGTGTTTTACCGATCAACTTTGTCAACGAGCTCTTCTGGAAAGAGTAATAGGAAACCTCGCATCCCAAGCGAATTGGATTACTCTCTTGAATCTCTTATAGGTCCAGATCATCTTTCCTTCTCATATTCGTTGGTGAACTCGAGTTGTTGAGAAACATGTGGACCAACACAGAGAATCTACAAAGTATTGTCCCACTTACATGGCTCCAAACACCATAGTTGATCAACATCGTCAGCGCACTGTCATTGGATCCACGACTATCTCATCCCGAGTACCAGATAACTGTTCTATTTTTACAGCTGAAGCAAATGCTATTTTAACAGCTCTAACATACATCCAAAAGCAAACAATACATAAACAGTTCGTTATTTTTTCAGACTCTTTCCTGCCTCCAAGCTATTTAAAACATGTCTTCCACACATTCACTTTTAATAGAAATGATTAAATTGTTCAATGATCTTGCTACTGGCCAATACGACATCGTTTTTTGTTGGTTACCAGCCATGTTGGAATCGCTGGGAACACAATGGCCGATGCTGCTGCAAAAGCAGCACTCAACAAATCTGTGACACCACTTCTGATCCCATTTAATGAGATCATCTGAGATCTAATGCATATGAAGTGGGACACCCAAGTAGGTATAAATAAATTACATGAAATTAAACCAAATATCGGTTACACCTACTTGGGTTGTCAGTCCAGATTTGAAGAGGTCATGATACGACGATGTCGTATTGGCCACAGCAGGTATACAAATGAATATTTATTGGAAGGTGGGGATCCTTGTATCCCTTGTGATGAAAGAATCACTATCAAGTATGTCCTGCTTGACTGTGTGGATTTTTCCATCACAAGGGATAAATATTTCAAATCATCATCAATTAAAGATCTTTTTAATACTATCAATTCTAATTAATTATATGTTTTTTTAAAAAGAAATTGAACTTATCGATAAATTCGAAATTGTATAGATAGCTATATTTTGTATTAGTTATGTATCATTGTAACTTAAATGGTTAGTGGCTGTATCCTCAAAGGGGGTTGAAGTAGCGTAACATTATTGTCCCCCTAAGAGGATATGTAAGGCCACATCATTTAAAGTAAATTATTCATACCTCAGTTTTAAACGTAGAATATTTGTTTATTTAAAATAATGGCTAACGGGATCGGGTGGTCAGGTTCTCTGACTTGGTTGATACATGTCATCCATCCCAATTGCGTTGATCAACACAATACTAGCAAAGAAATCAAAACTTATAAACATATAATTACTGGAACATGTTTTGTGACTTCACACAACAAATACACCTGGTTATAAACAGTGCATATAGTTTGCATATTGTTATGCCGATAACTACCGATATCTCGAACATATTCTCCAGTTTGGCCAGCCTCTCTATATAACTACATATGCATGCAAATTTGACCGCTTTTCTCGAATTCCAGATTAAAGTACATCGCGCTGTCTCTAACCTTGGACTTAATTATTACTTAACAATAGAATTGTGTACCTAGATCTCGAAGTTGACATTTGCCGCAATAACAAATGTTACATGCTCAAGTGAGCATTTAACATAGCTGTGAGCAATTTTCCTGGATACAGGCTGTTTAATCCGGAAAGAAAACAAAGACAGAGATAATAAAGATAATACAGATATTACTGCCATGACAGTATCGCCGTGTGATAAATAGGATCACACGTGGCATTCTTCAGGGCCGGCTCTCCATAATTGCACACAATCCATTAGTGGTGTGATTCACGACATAAAAATTGAAATCGTGTGAAAATTAAATATGATGGTCAACATAGGCAAAATCAAACTGTATGTATGGTATGATTGAAAATTCATATTAAATAACCCAAAATTTACATTTAATTTACTAGTTACGATGTATACAATAGCAAATACAATAAGGCAAACGGATGTCTTTCGTAAGCAACAATAAATATTTGTCTTCGTCAATTTTACAGCCACAGAAACATCATAAGACTCTTATCGCGACGAAAACAACAGAGCAATCACGTCAGACATAATGTTCATACCATCCTCTGACAAAAGATAGGCGTACCTGCGAGTGCGAGGCCTGGGACAGTTCCACTGTGCTCACTGCCACCACCACCACCCCCACTCTTCCCTTCCCTCTTCCAAATCAACGTCACCTTCTCCAGCAGTGCATACAACACTTGCTGTGGACAGATCTCAGTGGTAAAGGGTCCTCTTTACTGGAGAGTCACGTTTTGTTCTTCGCCAACTCAATGGCAGGACACATTTTACAGGCATCGTAGTGAACTTTACGTCACGACATGTGTTCACTTTGGGCAAGGTCTACAGGAAGGACTCAAATTTGTGTGATTCAATGTAATTTGAATGCTGTGAGATAACTGGATGTGATTTTGAATCAGAAATGAAACAGGAGCGTAATTAAACAATTTGTGATTGAGGTGGTTTTGATGAGATGGTACTCAATTATTTCTGCCATATACACAATTACGTACAAGCTATTAACACATACTTACCATGCTTAATATTGTTACAACGCCATTTACATACTTTATAGAAATTGCCTCTGTCATGTTTAGTGAATGAAGACATATTGCAACAGGAGCACATTGCATATGATTATTACAGTAGTACATCCATACATTAAACTGAACACATCCCAGTTTTATAAACGTATCTGGGAGGGATGAATAATATACTCAAGCATCATACACATGAATATTAATAAATTATAATTACATACATCTTTTATTACATACCAACCACATAAATAATGCGACAGCTGTATGTAATTTGAAACAATGTGAGTTGATTTGCCTAATTGTTAAAGAATATGTTAATCTGTTCACCATTTACAGCTGTTTCCGGAATTGTCTACCACGAGGTTTCGCAAATATGGAAGATTCCACTGCACGATCCGTGCAATATCGTTCAGGTCGGCAACTCAAACCAAGGGCAAAATGATTACATCAAACAAGTGTCTTCCTAGTTCAGCTCAATGAAGACTGCTTTTCTTGCATCATTTGACTCAAAACAAGCCTAAGAGAAGGTATGTTCGCTTCATAATTCAGTGACAATTGCCCACATTCCTAATTCAGCTGCCATCTGTAAGAACCGCTGCTTAATTTTTTGTTCGAATTGGGTTTCTCAACCACGTACCTCCTATATTCCCCTGGGGAATACGAGCGCTGGTCAAAACGTTCTAGGCCGGACTAACTTTCAACTATGGGCCATAACAAAGTAAACTTGGTCTGTTGATGCCGTTGTATATTAATGACAACCAGTTTAACAGTGGATTAGCTAGGGTACTTATCCCCATACACTTGTGACATGCAGGAATGAATTGCTCGAGTACTTTTCTCTAAAGTCAAAAGGGGGCACGGATGGCCCAGTCGTCTAAGGCACCGCGATTCGCTGTGCAGAGTTGCGCCCCTTGAGTACGCTAGAAACCTACGATTGTGGGTTCGAATCCCGGTTCGCCCCGATTATGTTTCTAGGTTTGCC